GCGCCACGTGGCGGTCTAGGAACGCTTATAGGGTAATATGTGGTGGATTAGAAGCGTTTGTAGGAAGTTTATCCTCTTGATTACTTTTTCTCTTTATGAAAATATTTGCAACAATAATTTTGGAATAGTTCGTAGGAAGATTATCCTCTTGATTATTTTTCTCTCTTTTCTCTTCATGAAAATATTTGCAATAACAATTTTTGAATAACCACAACCTTCTAAATTAAATATTTGTAACAATATTTTTTAGATCGTCATAACTTTTAACTTTAAATCGCACGTTCACTCTTTATCTATTTGGACCATTGTGTTATTTATGATAAAAATCATAATTAGAATTTATGACATATGTTGTCTACTTCGCTCGTAAAATGTATATTCTTCTAAGTTCTATTCATTCAATCATATATAAAAATATATATATAAAATTGTGACTACATATTATTTTATCCTGTACCACTTCACTTGCATGCATAAATAAAATAGGAAGTGACTATATATATTGTTAGATAGATCTACTTTTTAAAGTCTCACCTTGTAAGAACAATGCCCGCACAGCTGTAAACATATATTTTTAAATTATACTTTTTTATCATATTTGTGGAGTAATAAATTTTGTTTTACTACTATAAAATATACTATTTTATAAACCATCTTTTTTCTAGCGACGTAAATATATTTTTTAGGTCTTATAGCTTTTCTTTTTACTCGTGTACGTACGTATTTTTTTCAACTGAAACAGTACCTTTTTAATAGATTTTATATAGTACGTAAGTACGTTTCTTTAAATGAACAGTACATATAGGTTTTTTTTTTAAGGTCCGCGTAAGTACGTGAGATTTTTCCTTTTTTCCATTGTGCGTATGAACGTGAGAATTTCCGGTATAAAACGGTTTCACTCGAATTCACACGATATCAATAGAAAGCAAATAGATCTAATCCAATGGTCTAAAATAATGGGTCCACTAATTTAAATGAAAATCGATGGTGAGATTATAAAATGCCACATGGCAACATAAGAGTGTTTGTAGAAACGCCACATGGCGGCTTAGGAGCGTTTGTAGGATAATTAATGGACTTTTAGTATATAATAGATAGATAGATATCCAAACATTCGATGTGATAGGGACTTTAAAACTAAAGTCTTAGTCCCATCTAAACAGGGTCTTAAGTTTCCATGGAGGACGTGGGCAACTAGCATAATCATCGCCTTATCTCGCTCCGAAAGGACGGCGGCCAGTGGCAACAAATAAACAAAGAGGATACATATGCATATGCACCGTCCCCTTTTTTTTCACCATTTCATTTATCGGATTTTATTTTATTGAATCAACGAGCACTAATTTTATTGAATAGAGTAGGAGAAAACTGTACAATCAGACAAAAACACCAATTTTATTATCGGATTATTCAAACAAATTATTTGCACTATAATTTTTAAAAACCATGTGTTCTCAAGAAAAAAAAACTCTACTGCATTGTTCAGACCTATTTGTTGAGTTTTTTTAAAAAAATGTTTAGTAGTTTTCAAATCAAAATCTTCGGCAATAATCCACTCGACAGTCTCAAACTGGACCTTCGACACAGGAGCTCTAGATCAACTCCATATCTAGGGTGTGTTTAGTTCACGCTAAAATTAGAAGTTTGGTTGAAATTGGAACGATGCGACGGAAAAGTTGAAAATTTGTATGTGTAGAAAAGTTTTGATGTGATGAAAAACTTAAAAGTTTGAAGAAAAATTTTGGAACTAAACTCGGCCCTAGTGACAATACAACTTTGTCCATTCTTATTTTGGTTTTGTGTGCAAGTTCAATATTCTCAGCTCACATCAGTGTGTGTTATGTGTTATATGCTCCTCTATATTTTATATTTTAATGTATTATGTCGTTGACTTTTTATCAACGTTTGACCATTCGTCTTATTTAAAAAAAATTATGTAATTATTATTTATTTTATTGTGACTTGATTTATCACAAATGTTATTTAAGCATAACATAAATATTTTTATATCTACACAAAAATTTTGAGTAAGACGAATGGTCAAAAATTGGTAAAAAAAAACTACGAAGGGAGTAATTAATCGGAGGAATTAGCTGTTGGGTTCTGAGTCCAGGGTGTGTTGTGGCTTGTGATAGAAGCTGCATGCAGTGATGCTGTGCCTAGGTTGTTTTGCATTGTCTGCTTCTTCCCACTCACTCATCAGAGTTCACTTTTCGATCGAAAAGTTTGGTAATAACGTAGTACGCTGCTTGCGTGGTTTCGCACATTGTAAAGCTAAAGTCGTTGGAGGTGGCTTTCTTCGTCCTTGAGTACTATAAAAGCAGAGTACCGTATTTGGCTTTCTTGATAAATATTTTCTATGTCCCAAAACAAACTCAATCCTAGATTTGAATGTGAGTATACCCAGGGTTATACTTTCGGTTTAGCCGATTTGATCTGGCGTCACCGAAATTTCGGAAATTTCCAAAATTTGAACAAAATTTAGTTGAATTTGAACAAATATTATCAAAATTCATGAAAAATTGAAAAATTTTGGCCCAAAAAATATCATATCGAAGGGATCCAAAATGACCGAAATTTCCAACCCTGAGTATACCCAATCCTAGGTTTAATTTGAACATACACTGTAACCGGATTCAAAGTCAGGATTGAGTTCTTTTTAGAACAATGGGACTAGATGATGAAAAGGGGTGGCATGCATGCTGGATCTAGCCAGCTAGGGATCCATATCGCCTACCTTATTTTTTTGCCAAAATCAAGCTTTCCGGCCATATCTTGATCCATCCCTGTCATCCATTCATCAATTAACCATCCGATTGTTGTACCATAGCAGCATATATAGCTAGAAGAGAACTTGCAAGACTCAACCATCGATCGAACAGACAGAAATTCTACGGTTGGCATCCACACAACTCTACAGCTGGCTTCAAATTATGGATGAAAATGGTCGGAAAAATGCTCAAACTATTTCCACAAGCATATATATTGTTTATTGGGAATAGAATCGAAATAGTAGAACATTTGAAACGAAAATGGTACCAGAATGAAACTATCCATAGAACCTTAGAAACAACGTATCTCAATGGCACGAGCTAAACCCAAAAAATAAACACCCTCTAATCTAGGACGGAGGGAGTACTAGAAGTAATTAATTTTTTTAAAAGTGCATCTTTATACCTGACTTATATTAAAAAATTCTTTATAGAAAATACCGTGCCAAAAAATTTTACTTACTCAGTTCTGGTAAGGAGGATTCACGTGCAGGGAACCAGTTGCTGCCTTGCGTTTCACGCGGAAAGAGTCCAATTCGACTCCCTCAGCTGTAGGTTGAATCTGATTTATATGCCCATGCATATCGTAAAATCAGGTATATCAACCCATTCAATTATTAAAACTAGTGTAAAATTACTTTCTTGATGGTATGGCACGTTGATTTGTGGTTCTCGCTGATGTGACATGTTGACCTTGGTCAAACCAACTAAGTCTAGGGCATGTGGTGCTTATGTAGCACCAGAAGAAAAATATGAAAAAAAAAGTATAAATGCAATGGAACCCACGTATCAGTAAGTATCTTTGCTTTCTTCCTCTCTAGCTGCCATCTTCCTCTCGGCAAGCATCGAGCCAAGCTTTGAGGTAGAGAGAGGAGACTAGGGAGAGAAAGAGAGGACCGCAGACTCTGGAGCCTAAGACAGCGGTGGTGGTGGTGTCTTTCCCAATTCCCATGACTTGCTCAACTGGTAGGGGTGATGGTGCAGAGCTTGACAAGGCTAAAGAGAGCGCGAGATCTAGTGGTTGCCAGCTAGGCCTATAAAAAAAGCTTAAGGCTTGTGGGCTGCTCGAGCTTGGTTCGTCTTAGATTTGATACGAGCTCAGCTAGAGCTCTTAAGGAGCCAAGCCCGAGCCCAACCCCAAGCTTGTGAGCTTTCGTCAAGTTGAGCTTGAGCTTCTCATGAGCCTAGATGTATGTTTGATTTTTATGTCTTGTGTAACAAGTGACTAGGTTAAGGATAAATGAGTACAGATTCATGTAAAATAATTAGTCTGTTTTGGTATCATATATTAATCGTATGTTCTCCTAACCTTTTCTTTAATATTGTTATCTTGAAATTATTGTTTTACATAAAAATTATCATCAAAATATACATTATCATATACTCGGTCGAGCTCGCAAACCTAACCGAATTTGAGTCGAGCCTGCTTAACGACTCGAAGGTGGATTAGGCTCGGCTCGAGCTTGTGTCGAGGTCGAGCCTATACAGGCAGGCTCGCTCAAGTTTGGCTTGTTGACAACTCTAGTTGCCACCTTCGCTTATGTTGCCTTCGAGAGCAATGGAATCTAGATGTCGGCATCCTGAGATCGCGATGTGGCCTACTAGGTTGGACACCCTGACTTGAAGACCACCGGCACATACACGTCGTTGTTCATGTCATCTGCTGCCACGAGAATGACAACGGGATCCAACTCTGCCACCGCTTACCTCGCCTCCGCTACCACAAACCTCTCCTCCACTAGGAAACCAAGGGTGGTGCTATTGCATGTGTAGCTATCACCAAGCTGTTGTTAGGGAGAAGGGAGAGGGGCAGAGGCAGCTAGCCCTTCGCCAGACTGGTTCTCTAGCAAGGACAGGGCTAGCGCTCTCAGTGGCCTCCATGTTGTGGGGGACGAAGTACACCACCGCCATGAAGCTCGGCCTCTAGACATTGACCCATCTCCACCACGTGTGTTGCTGTAGTGGAGCTCGAGGCCGGATCACCTCCTCCCAGCTACTTCCTCAACACGGTGATAAGCATGAACTCAAACCTCTGCCTGGCTAGTTCTTACCTCTCTTGGCCACTGTCTCTCCCACCAACGAGGTCACCGCCGTCTCCAACTCATGCCACCCCTAATCCCACCAGTCGCCACTTTAACCACCGGAAGATAAAGAGAGATGATGAAATAGAGGAGAGAGGGAAGGAAGAGGAATAATCAGTCTATCTGCTGTTTAGCCTAGTGATGCATGCTACCTGCAGTGTACAACCAACTTCTTGGCGACCAGCCGAATACCAGCATTATTTTTGTAGTCGTATAGTTCCACAGAGAAGAACGCGTCGACCATGTCCCCTCGAAAAAACATAAATTCCAGCTCTGCGACATCTGCCTTGCTGAAATCCTTCTTCCGGATGTTGCCGCTAGCCTCTTTCAGGTATATCTCTGTCGCATAGGTCGCATCGTCGCCGCTGCCTACGATGGGGATGCTGCGAAAAGGGAATGTGGTTGTTGTTACTCCCTCGGTTTTATATTATAATTCGTTTGATCTTTTTTTTAAGACAAACTTAGTTAAGTTTGACTAAATTTATAGTAAAATTTTAACAATATCTAATATATGAAATTAGTTTTATTAAATCTAACATTGACTATAGTTTGATAAAATATTTGTTTTGTGTTAAAAATATTAGTATATTTTTCTATAAATTTAGTCAAACCTAAAGAAGTTTAACTAGGAAAATATTCAAACGACTTATAAATATAATACGAAACAGAGGAAGTATCGTTGTTGTTGTTAAAAATCACAGAAGCATGAACACTTGGCACTTATTTTTACATTTTAAAAGAATCAGAGAGCAATGTAACTCACTTTAGGCGTACACTAGGACGATTCCCGTATTCCTTAATCACTTGCCGCCATTCAGAATTGCTCCCAAACTTCCGGAATGTTATCTCAGCTATTTCATCACAAAATTCTAGAACTTGTCTGAGATTCTCAGGGATGTCAACCACTATGCTCAACTTATTTGGTCGACCTTCACTGTCTTGATACAGATAAACTTCATAACGGACCCTCAAACCTATGCAACGAAGTTGTAGCGGATTATCGTTGTGCTCGATACATAAGCTCCATTCAAATTGGTATGGAAGAGAATTGGTGCGAAGGCCGGAAGTTAGACTTCTTTTGCCCAAACAAGAGGAAAAAGAAATAGAAACTTGGATGAACTCGAGTGAAATATCATTTGGGTTGAGGAAACCGCCGCTTAGCAGTTCTGGAAAATTATCCTCCTGCAAAAGAATTTCATGGTTTAGCCAATAAATTATACTATCAAATAGGGGTATAATCAGGTCAGATATGATCGGATAGCACTCTTTTTTGACCTATCTTGTATTTTCTTCAGAGCCAAAACCAAGCATTGATTTACTTATCCCGGTTTTTTCCCTCGGAATTGGATCCAAGAACGGATTTTTATCTCTAGTACTAAGATATTAAGCCTAGGGACAATTAGAGAACCCGATTAGTTGGGCATGTCAACTGTTAAATGGGGATGGATCTAGGGATTCATTTGCGAGTTCATAAATATATAAGGACTATTTATATCTTTTATCATGTTCATAAGTGGAGTCATAATAGATTTTGGTGTATGTTTAATAGTACGGCTACAACTCATAACATAACCTATCCTATTTTTCTCCTAGGTTCAAATTCTGATGGATAATGGCAAGTATTCATTTCACTCTCCAGTACCAGTCTCATAAGCCTCGGGTCGGTCAGGATAGCGGGTAATACACGTCCCGTTTACACACCTACTATCAGACAGTGAGACACATTAATGAATTCTACAAACAATATATCATAACTAACGATGATTGATTGGCTCTCCTCCATCTCTCTACACAGTAGCATTTCTAGGCAATTCAAAGTTGCTACTACGAATTACAGAAATTTAAATATTCTTAATTTCAATAATAGATATCTATGAATTACCCCACAATTCGAAGTTGGATTGTTGACATATCATGCTATGCAATCACTAGTTCTCACTCTGCTGCATCAGATGCCAAATGCGTGGAAAAAAATGATAGAAACAAGTAGTTGTTTCAGACTTTCAGTCAAAGAAGCATTGCTTGAACAATGTTGTTTTCCAGATCATATGAAGTTAATAGGAACAGAAAAACAGGAGGTAGGTAATCCAAACACACCAGGAACAGCACTGTAGAACAACACTTGAGAACATCAAGATTCATCCTGACATCATACAGACTCCTGCAAATTATTGAGCAGATTATTGTCATAGATTAAACTTAACGAATAGCTTAAAAACAAGGGTCTAAACAATGTAGCAGGAGAAAGTTTATTAGGAAAGCACATCTTTTGAAGAATGTAGAAAATAATTTGTTTCAATGATCCAATGAATAATCAGATGAAAAGAACATGGCTTAAATTGCAAAGCAAATTAGTGGAAGATCATTTACTCTATTAATTTTAGGATATATATATACTTAAAACTGAATAAAAGAAGGTGAAATAACGATTCCTAATCTACTTCTCTAATTGACAATAAATACCGAGTACTTGGAGAAGTGCGTATGTGCCAATGAAACTAAACAAAACAATTTGAACATGATATGTACTGAAGTGGGATCATGAGGAAGTTAATCATTACTTTTGATTCGTATTATGTTTGGTAGCAGGAGTAAATGTTGATGGGCGATATATATATATTCAAAAAACAGTGATTGTTTCCACCACACCTCTTTAGAAAGATTCTTGTTAGAATTTTAAAATTTTGACCAAATATTGTCATAAATATCAAATATTTATGATTGAAGGTAATATTAATAGAAACTGCTCAGCGGGCTAGGTAACCAGTAATGAAATAATCACTTAATGAATGTCAAGCTAAGTTACCAACATGATGCCTTGGGTATATGTGTTTTCAATTCAAATAGGAAAGGATAAGAAAAATCCAAAGTTGAGAAAGGACGCATTTGGAATTCAGATGCAATGAATATAAATTTTGGATTTTACACTCTATATAATATACCTGTGAATTTGCGGCCCTAGATTAAAGTAATCTGCCAAATTTGCCATCTGCAGAAATCAGCCATATTCATTCAAATGACAAGAAGGATCATGTATATCCATGAGAACATTCAACGAAGGTCTGGATTCTTTAGCATGCAAATCTTGGTTTTCTTTAGGGAAATTTATAAAAACCACCTCATAAGTTACTTGAAGTTTGACATTTCACCATATAAGTTATTTTATTGCAAATACCTACCCAGCTACTCAATTTTATTGAAAAACCACTCCAGTGAATGTATGTCTAACCGAATCAACATGTTTTAATAAATTATAAGCCGTCAATGTGATCTTTACCAAACTTAGATACACGTAGAATATAGTTTTGATAAAATAATTTTTGAAGATTCCACAAATAGAAATGCTGATGAGAGCTTAGATGTTCTTACACTGTGTTTTGCTATATAAAGAAAGTTCAATGAAACATGAAGGATAAATCTAATGCAAGCAATTGAATAAAATTTACTCGGGTAGCTTAGCATCATGTGGTAGCTCTAGGGTGATTTAATTAAGCACGTGCGCTGTAACGCTCCGCTTCTCGTGAGACGTTAAAAACTAATTCGGCAAAATCCTAATTGCGAAAATTTCGTTCTTTGTGTGCGAGTCTAAGTCGTGCCCTGGATCTCAATTCAATTTCCCGTTGTTCCCTCTCGTCGCCATCAAATCGTCCACCTCAAGATTCCAATTCCGGCTATCAAACTCCGAAATTCAATCGCCTCCCTTTGAATCCCCGCCAAATACCTGTCCCCATTTCCGAAAAATATCAAATTCCCATCTCGAATCCTTTCCTTGAGTCTCCCTTGATTCCTCCCTAAACCCCCGAGATCGAATCTCAAATTTGAAATTTAAACCCAAGCCCCAAATCTCTCCAACTCAAATTCCCTATAAAAGTCTATTTTTTCCTCCCTCTGTTTTGTGGGCTGAATTCCTTTCCCTCGGCCCATCCCTCCTCTCAGCCTGATCCCCCTCCCCTTCGCACGTGCAGAGCACGAGCGTCGTGCCCGAGCCGAGAGAGAGCGCCGCCCTCTCTCTCTCTCGCTCTCTCTGCTTCCTCTCTCCCCGTCGCCGATTCCCGCCACCGCCTTTGGTTCCCGCGCACGCGTCGGTCGTGGCCGACCGCCCGGTCGCCGCCACCGTCAGCGCCTGCGCCGCGCTGCCGCTCGGCCCCGCTGCCTGCCGCGAGCTCTGCAGCGCGTGCCCGAGCCGCTCCACGCGTGTCCTGCCAAAACCGTGAGGCCGAGCTCCCGCTCCCATCCCTCTCCCGCCCCAACTCGGCAAAGAGCAGAGCCCCCCTTTTCCCCCTCCTTTTCCACTTTTGCCTGACACCGCCGGCATCATCACCTGCCGCCGCCTTGGCTGCACGCGTCGACGACCGCCAGCTCATCGCCCCTGCATCCCTTGACCGCCAATGTCGGTTTTCCTCCTCCAAACCGACCTCTCCTCCTCGCCTATATAACCCGAGCCCCCCCCCTCAGCGTCTCGACCTCCCACTCGTTTCCTCTCGTTTCCTCCCACAGCGCCATTGCCGCCGGACCACCATCCCCACCATGCTGCCGCCGTCCTCGCCTCCCTCCGCCGTCGCGCGTGCTGGTGAAGCCGGCGTGCGCACGAGGAGCTGACGCGGACTCCGGCCACTCTTCTCCTTCCCCTTCCCCGGCCCGAGGCTGGAGAGCTTGCCTCCCGCGCCGCCGCCGCTCGTCACGGTGCCCTGTCCCGACGCGGTAGCCCTCCGTTCCTCTTCCTCGCTCGCCCTCCTCCTCCTTTAACTCGCGTGGTTCGTAGGCGCCGCCCCAAGCCCCGCTGCCGCTCGCCATGGCCTTGCCGCCGTCGGCGCCCGCTCCCGGAGGCCGCCTCTCGTCGCCGGACCTCCACGGCGTCGCTCTACCCCATCCAACGCCGGAAATGAACTCCTTGAACCCCGGAGATGCTCCCATCCTTTTGAATCGAACCCCCGTTGCTCCGGTGAAGTTTCCCCCCTTTTCGCGCCGCCGGCGTGCGCCGCCACGATTCGTCGTCGCTGGCCTCCCTCCGGCGAATCCGACCCGGTGGCTCACTTCCTCTTGTCCGTCCCATCGTTCCGGTGTACTCCCTCTCTCTCGAATCGTCACGACGAGCTCCGGTGAACTTGGCCGCCGTCCGCCGTCCATCTCGGCCTCCCCTTCTTCCTCCTCCCGCCGGCCCGCGTGGCCTGCCACGTAGGCGCCACGTCGGCGCCACCTCGGCTTTGACCGGGCCAAGCCGGTCAGCCGCCCCCTCCCTCCGTCTTCCCTCCCGTGCGCGCGGTCCACGGCAAGCCGTGCGGCTGCACGTGGGCCCGCCACCATCCGTCCACCCGGCGCGCCGCGCCCGAACCACGCGCACCCGAAACCCTAGCGCCCGTCCCCGTGTGCGCCGCTTCCACCGTGCACCGCCTCACCGACAAGCGGGCCCGCTCGGGACCCCGCGAGGTGAGCCCGGTCCACCCGGCTCCCCTTCCCCCTCTCTCTCCCCACGCCCCTCTCTTGGGCCGCCTCTCCGTAGCCCGCGCCGGCCCAATAAGCTCGGCCGAGCCGCGCAAATCCTCTCGGGCCGCGCCAAGCCGCTCGGTAAAATCTGATTCCTATCCCTCCTTCCTTTTCTTATCCAAAGGGATTAATAAATCCTTTTCCCTTTTTCATAAATCAATTCCTTATTCCCAAAATTCCATGAATCATTTCCTTTGCTCCCGCACGTCAGTGAATGTCAATAATATTCTTGAGAATATTATTTCTATAAATTCCATAAACCATTTCTCGTATTCCAGAAAATTCCGATAAATCATTTCCTTGTCCAGAAAATCCAATTAAACTTCCAAAATTCGTATCTCCCGATCCGTAGCTCCGATTGATTCCGTTCCACATCCAGTAATTCCGTAAAATTGAGATCTATTTAATGGCACTATTAATTAGCCTAATAGGATCTTTCTTTTGGTCTTTTGTTTAGGTTTTTGATTGTTTGCGTATAGTTGCGGTTACCGGATTTTCGTCGATCGCGGGTTTTCTCGAAGATTCGTGAAGCTTCGCGAAGACCTTGAGCAAGGCAAGTCACCCTTTGATCAATTGCTCCTATAATTGGAAAATCATTATTATTTTGTTTGCAACTTGCATTATTAGAGTCACACACATATAACATGCTTGGCCTCGGTTTGCGTGCCAAACCGACGGACCTACCCAGTAGTCGCACTAATTCCTGTAGGCTGTACTACCCTGATTCCTTGTCGCTCCACCCTTGTGGTACTTTGGTATCCGTGCTCTTTGAGCGTGTATACCAATTGTCCCACATACACCGTTGATTGTCGAAAAATTGGGAAATGGGTTTGTGAAGCCTTCAAAACCCGACATGTGGTGTCGGTGTGTTTAAAAATAAAATGAATTGTGAAAACTCGCGATGCGGGGGTGGTGCCTGCGTGGCGCTGTCCCGTATTCGCATATAAGGACCGATTCCTGTGGGAAACTCATCAAGCATAATCAAAGTGCAACCACAAGGTGGAATGGGACACCCTGGCTAAGTAACTAGTCGGTTCAGGGAAACCTCGCATGCCAATAGTTGGGGAACGCCGGGGCGGGGTCGGTTGGAGCCAACCCGGGTTCCTGGTAAGGCAAGAACACGAAGCTTGCCAGATTACCGATCGAGGTGGTTGGAGTTTGATTTGTGAAAACTAAAATGGCCTATATTTATGTGAGGAATTGATCCTTCTATGTGGCATGAGGTAACCCTGGGTCGGCTTGGGAAAGGCTTTGTTGCGAACCTCTGATACCGACGGGTGTTCGGAATAAGTTCGTATCTTGTGGGTAAAGTGTACCCCTCTGCAGAGGTTAACTAACTGTTCGAACAGCCGTGCCCACGGTCATGGGCGGATGTGAGGTGGTTCCCGTTGCGTAGATTTGTTTGCCTGTGCTTTGTGAAAAGTTGTTGTGGTGTGGGAATCGTAACCAGAATCAGCCTACGTGGCAGATGGATGACCTGAGTAGTCAGAAACGAATCTGTGTGATTCGGGATGTCTGTGGGCATCATAGACTAGGCTTCCCGAGTGGAAGCGGATTGCTTTGCTGCTGGGCAGCTGGACTCTGGGAGTCCGAGAAAATGAAAAAGGCTCTGGGAGCCGCTTAATCGAGTGAAAAGGCTCTGGGAGCCGATAAGTAATGATCTGACCCTGGAGGTCGATATATTACCATTTGAGTTGTTGAAAAGCATTTCTTAAGTCAAATCGAGACACAAGTCTCTTTTCGATCCAAACTCAAAAAGAAATAAATCACTTAGTGTTTTCAAAATGAATTCAAACAAAGGATTTGCAAAACAACCTTGCCTCTCTTCCAAGCTTGCATTAAACACCTAAATTCCCGTGACTTGCTGAGTACGAAAGTACTCACCCTTGCTCTATATAAATATATATAGTTCCTCCGCCTTGAAGTGAAGATGAAGTGAAGTGAAGATTAGGGTTTCGTCCTTGTTCCCAGCCGTCGCCTGTGGTGTTGGGTGTTAGTTCGTTGGTTCCGCTGCTGCTGCTGTTGTTGGTGTTTACTCGTCCGTGTCGTCGGTTGCATTCTCGGGTTGTTCTGAGCTGCAACCTAAGTTAAGGTAAATAAGTCCTCTATTTATTTTAAGGATTTGCAATGATTCATATTTGTCACCGTGGGTACCAGCACTATGTCCTGGGACTGGTACCGAGATCGCGGTTTCGTAGGTAGCGGTTCGCGCCGTTTTTCTTACGACACGCTCCTATCAGGTGCCGTTGTACGGCGGTGCCGGATTGGGGTGTGACATGCGCACTAGGGTGATTTTTACAACAAAACAGAGCATGGAGTGGACATTTGTTACAAAATAACTTATCAAACTTCAAGTGACTTATGGGATGGTTTTTGTAGTTTTTCCTATCTTTTATGGTACATCTATAACTAAGGCTCGGTTTGTGGTTGTTGTGTTGGTGTTGCGCTGTGCTCATTTTTAAAATTGCTCTAAAAATTTGAACATATAATTTTGGTCGTTTGGTTTATAGATTGAATTATGATTATATATATTATCCAACTTTCACGTCTCTTCCAATTGTTTCGTATTTTCATACCATAATAATATTGACAAGATTATAAGAAAATCAGTTTAACAAACACCAAAATGTCAAAAAGTTGTTGCAGCAAACGAGTTTATGATCAGGATCCATATGCCGCAATGTCAAACTGAACCTAAAGCATTCTTAGTTTGAAATTGTAAGTGATTTTATGCAAACAACAAGGTCATCACCTTCATGTTCCCTGCTCTCCTCCCAAACGTCTGGGTAAGCAGAGGTAAGGTGTCGATCATCCCCTTTGGTTCAGGAGGCGACCGTCCAATTTCAGCGAATGCTTCCCTTATTATCTCTGAGTCAAACGAAATGATGTTGTGACCAGCCCAGATTCGCCCTGTCCAGAACTAACAACGTTAGAGAGCACTACGAAAAGGGCCAAAATAAAGTAGTTTTTTTTTAAAAAAAAATCTTTACAGTGGTAAAAAATTAACCATTATAGAACACTAAAATGGATATTGTGCATTCGTCTAGCGTTGATGAAACTATCATGTCACTCAAGTGCTAATTAAATCTTATTCTTCTTCTATGGTGTGTTGGCATCGATATGATATTGTGCTTGTATTGTAAAAAGTGGCTCTGATTGAAATTGAAAACGGAGTTAAAGGCCTGTTCACTTTGATAAAAAAAAACATTACCAAATTTTGCCAAAATTTTGGCAACTTACCAAAATTTTAGCAGGATTTTTTATATAGTTACCCAAATTTGGCAGCAAACTAAATGTAGCCAATTTTTTTGACAACTTTACCAAAATTTGGTAAGGTTGAAAATAGTATCAAAAGAACAGGCCCAAAGCAGTGACTGTTGATGTATTAGAATTGATAACCGTTGAGTCATGCAGCATAGTAAGTTGGAGTTGGAAAGAAAGATTTTTTTTTATTTAGTTGGCATTGAACCATGTGCATGTATCGAATTTTAGATAATAAAAGCTTTTATTCAAACTCACCCAACAATGTACATGCTTGGAACGTGCTTGCTAGTATATGGCTGCAGTAGTAAACTACATATTTCCTTGAGAGAAAAGAAAATGGAAAGGGAAAGAAAATGGATTCCTCATTCCTGAAAGTCAAGGAAGGAGACATGTCAAGAAATACAATGACAAGAACCCCCTCCCCTCACCGTGCAGGACGTTGTGGATGTTATTAGCAACGTCACAGAAGGGCGGGGCGTGTTCGAGGGCGCCACGCGTGATGCCCTTACGCTCAAGCGCCTCCGTGACCACCCCAAGGTCGGAGGGGCGCACGAGCGTGACGAAGGGCTCCGCGACCTCAACCAGCTGTCGCGGGCAGAGGAAGATGGACCCGAACTCGAGCAGCGTGCGCCTCTCCCTAGGACCCCATGGCATGGAGGTCTCCACGTCGAAGAAGGTGATCTCCGGCTCCTCCTCAACTAGAGGTGGGACTTGGGCCGTGCTTTCTTGGGCCGGCCCAAGGCACGATGGCCCAGCACGAGAGAAAGCACGCCCAGCACGGCACGGCTATGGGCCGGGCCGGCACGGCCCGTAGTTGGGCCGTGCCTGGGCCGTAAGTTGAGGCACGCTGGGCGGCACGGCAGGCTATTGGGCAGTGCCTGGGCCAGCCCAGCACGAAAAAGGCCCGAAGGCCCGAAGGCCGGCCCAGCACGAAAAATGGCCGAAAGTCAGGAGCGCAGGAGTCGGCCCGTAAGTCACCGCAGGAGCGCCGAGCGCGTGCATGGCTGCATGCGACGCGGTGATTAATTTCTTCCTCTTGTTTTGAATGGAATTTAACTCATGTAGACGCGGTGATTAATTTCTCAAGGGAACAGTGCCATGCACTCATGCAGATGTGCATGGTCGCCTTGCCTGTTGCTGTGCCGCATGCGGCATGCCCAGAAGGCCAGAACTAAGTGCGTGGTCACTCAGACTGACACTCAAACTTCAGCCGTTCAGACTTCAGTAGTTCAATGTGTGTGCGTGCGTGGCCGACGCCCGACGCGTTCAGTCGTTCAGAAACTTCAGATATGGCCGGCCGCGTCGCCGCGACCCGCGAGGAGTCACGCAGCCGCAGCGTTCCAGGCTTCTAGCCGCAGCCGTCTCCTGCGCTCCTGACGTCACGCGTTCAACCGAGCCGCTGAACCGAAGAGTCGATCGGTAGCCGCCGAGAGTCGTTCAGATCAGTTCAGTGTTCAGACGCGTCGCCGGCCGGCGGACCGGCCCTGGCATACCCTATATAAACCATACCTATTTTCTGATTTCAACACACTTCTTCTTCTTCTTTCAACACATCTCCCCACCGTATCTATTTTTCATAGAAAATATGCGGAGGTCCAAAAAGCGTCAACACGAGTCGACAACCGGTCCATACCAGAGGTCGGTCGATGCCCGGCAGCTATCCCCGGGCATGGACGACTACGGGATGGATGATCGCCACATGGATGGTCTGGAGGGCGATGACGGTGATCAGCCATCTCCTGGCGAGGCCAACTTCTCCGTCGACGTCGACGCCACGACGTTGCCCACACCAAATTCCGATAACCAGCCATCTGCCAGAAGAGCGGAGTGTTGGCGACACTTCGAATTATTCACCGAGATGGTTGACGGTAAAAGTATACCTCGTGCTCAATGCAAATATTGCGAAAAAATTTTGTCTGCAGCTACTTCTTCAGGGACAGGCCATCTCAACCGGCATTACTTGGCGCATCTCAAGAACAAGGCGCCGGCAGGAGCAAGACAGACACATTTGTCCTTCGGCCCTGACGGTTCAGTAAGTACATGGACCTATGATTCAAAAATAGCTAGAGAAGAGATTGCTAAGTTTATTGTTGCTGAGGATCTACCAATTAGAATGGGGGAAAGCAAACATTTTGAGAGAATGATCCAAAAAGCTTTTTGCCCACAGTACAAAAAAGTTTCTAGGAAAACCACCAAGAACGATATTACAGCTATATATCGTTCTAAGTTGAGTGTGTTGAAGCAAACTTTGAGTACTACTAGTTTTTCATTTGCTGTGACATCGGACATCTGGACATCCCAACACCAAAGAACATCTTATCTTAGTGTTGTTCTTCATTATCTTGACAACAATCGGTCGTTGAATAAGAGAGTCATAGGGTTCAAACTCATGACGTCACACACGGGAGATGCCATAGCCACGATAATCCTAGAGGTATTGAGAGAAATCAATTTACAATCTAGGGTTGTTTCCATTACTCTTGACAATGCATCAGCAAACACAACGGCCATGTCGATTTTGGAGCCGGATCTAAGAAGTTATGTTGGAGGCTTTGTCATTCATCAGAGATGCATTTGTCACGTCATCAATCTCATCGTTCAACCAGGTACTAATGTTATTAATAATTTATTGATTTTAGTGTATGCGGCATATTGCTTATTTATTTTAATATATGCGACCTATTTTTTTGCAGGCATGATTGTTCTGGATAAATTGTTAAACAAAATTCGCCGTTCTGTTCGTATCATAGGAGGTAACACAGTGGTCAAAGCGAGGTTCCAAGACTACTGTAAAGCGAAGAATAAACCTGGACGGATGTTTGGCATTGTGAAGAATAAACCTGGACGGATGTTTGGCATTGATGTCAAACATAGGTGGAACACAACATACCTGTTGCTGCGACAATTAAAAGGGTATGAGGAGTTAATTTCTATTTTCATCAATTCGATGCATGTCAGAATGAAGGATACCGATGACGACGGTGATGGTGAGATTTTGATTCTCACCGATCAGGATTGGGAGATTGCTACACGTGTGCGTAAATTTCTGAAGCCCTTTTATAATGCTACAGTTCAATTATCAGGAATTTACTATCCTACATCTTGTTTGGTGCTTGAGTGGATTTGGAAGCTGGCACTTGTTTTGGATGAAAACCGGTCTGATCGTATTCTGTCTTCCATTGTTAAACCCATGGAAGAAAAATTTCTCAAATACTTCACCGCTATACCTCACCTTTATTGCTTTGCTTTGATACTTGATCCTCGCAAAAAGTTGGAAATTGCCAAGGTTGCCATGAACTCAATAGGTGATGCAGTGGGGCTTGATTATTCTGAAGCTTTTCAACATGTCAATAATGAGCTCTATAGGGTTTTCCGTCTGTACCGAACCAAGCTTGGTGGTACTCCCCGAGTTCCTGAGCAGACCTCACAAAAGAAAGCAAGCAAGTCAAGTGCACTAAATTTGTGGAAGCAGCATACAGGCAAGGACCAAGCCTCTCCATCCTCACAGAACAAATCAACATGGAACCCGGATTCAGAGCTTAACCACTACCTCGTCACCGATCATACTGAGCATGATCCGACGCTTGATGGCGACGATGTCGATCTCCTTGGGTGGTGGAAAGAGAAAGAGCGAACTCTTCCTATGTTAGCTCACTTTGCTCGAGATATTCTTCTGGTTCCGGCCTCCTCCGTTTCTTCCGAGCAAGCATTCAGCGCTACTGGAAGAATTATTGAAGAACGAAGGTCATGCCTAACACCCGAGACGGTTGAGTCAATCTTTTGTCTTAAAGACTGGATGAAAGCAGATGAACGAACACAACACCGTCTAGATGATCAAGAGCTTGCCGATGCAGTGGAAGACGCATTGGCGGAAATTTGCCTTACCAAAGATGATGGTGCTGTTGATCCGGAGTAATTGATGCTATAATGTAAAATAGTTGTTGTACTCTTTTTTCCTTACGGGGGAACCCTACTCTAGGGCGTAAGGTTTTTAACGAGGCAACAACTATATATTCAGATTATTAATATATATATATATATTTCCCCCAATTTTATTGTCTCAAGTTATTTATGATATTATGTCAATTCTAATTGTGTTCATTAAGCCATATACATTATTATCTCATTGTTTTTTCATTTTCCCTATCTTATTTTTCCCTCCATTATTTTAGTTTCCCCCTCATTTTCCCTCTCTTATTTTTCCCCTCTTACTTTTTCACTTATCGGGCAGACTGCAGACTTGCAGAGCACAAGTCAGGCTAGAACCATAGGGCCTAGGCTGGCAGCCGAGGCGTCGGCGGCGGCCCAGCAGGCGGCGGCGGCTCTCGGCTTGTCGGCGGCCGGCGCGGGCAGCGTAGCAGGGAGCAGGCGGCGGCGGCTCTGCGCGGCCGCGCGGCGTCGGTCATCGGCGTCAGCGGCGGTGGCTCTCGGCGTCCGCGGGCGGCGGACCGCCCGTCGCAGCCCTCGGGGTCGGCGGCGGCGGCAGCCCTCTTATTTTTTCCCTCCCTTATTTCAGTAGATCGTTTCTTGGTTAGCCGGCCAGTCGAATTGTTGATCAAGAGAATTTGGGTATTCTTGGGAGTTTCTGATCGATGACGCGGTGGGCGGATCTGGACGTGCTCCGGCCGGCGGTGGCCGCCGACGTGCAGGTCGTCACGTCGGATGGGAAGAGCATCGCCACACATTCCTTCGTTCTTGTAAGATGGACTTCTGGTTCTTCTCTGTTACTGGTGGTGAATTCTGGATGGATCAGGGGTTCTTGACGACCTTGCATTGAGGCTGATGGTTTTCTGTTTCTGGGTTTGGTGTGAAGGGCACGGCGTCGCCGGTGCTGGAGCGGATGATCGAGCGGGCACGGCGGGGGTGGAACACCGAGTGCATCATTCCGCGTCCTCGGCGTCTCCTCCGACGCCGTCTTCGCGACTTCGCCTTCCTCCAGTTGCTGTACGCTTCCAGGTGATTGAGAGAACACCCATTTCATCATTCGACGTCCATGGCTTTGATCGAGATCTGATCGTCTGACATGCTTGGGCGTGTGTGCGGCCACGCAGGGTGACGCCGGAGGACGAGGAGGTGGTGACCGCGCACGGGCCAAGTCGGCATCAGCGACGGCGGCGCGGCGCGACTACGCGGGCCCTAGCTCCTGCTCAGGTAATTCTGGGCCGTGCTTGGGCCAGCACGGCCCGAACAGGCCCGACATATCTTTGGGCCGTGCTTGGGCTTTCTCTTCTCCACCTTGGCCTGGCACGGCCCGGCACGATTAGCAGGCCGTGCCGGCCCACCTTGGCCTGGCACGGCCCGGCACGATTAGCAGGCCGTGCCGGCCCGGCACGGCCCATTCTAGCACGAAGCACGACGGGCCAGGCCGTGCTAGCCCGGCACGGCCCAAGTCCCAGCTCTACGGGCAGGTCACCTACTCACCTACCGCAGGTGTAGTCATTGATCCCCCTCTACACAAGCAGGGTTGTGTTTGGTTTAGCGCAAAGGCTGTGTTTAGATCCAAAGTTTGGATCCAAACTTCAGTCATTTTCCATCACATCAACCTGTAATACACACGCAACTTTTCAGTTACATCATCTCCAATTTCAGTCCTTTTCCAAACTTTGCAACGATCTAAACACAGCCTTAAGTTTGAATTTTGGTTGAAATTGTAAATAATGTGACTGAAAAGTTGCGTATGTATGACAGGTTGATGTGATGGAAAAGGACTGAAGTTTGAATCCAAACTTTGGATCTAAACACAGCCCACATTTTCATGTGGAAGCCTGGAAGATTCTACCTTCGTCCGATATGCTACATATAAGGCTGTGTTTAGTTCAGCGCAAAGTTTGAATTTTGGTTGAAATTGAAGATGTTGTGACTGAAAAGTTGTGTGTATATGACAGGTTGATGTGATGGAAAAGGACTGAAGTTTGGATCCAAACTTTAGATCTAAACACAGCCTAAGATCCCATGTAGGAGTAAAATTTTTTACCTCGTCACATTTAATGTCTGGACACATGTATGAAGTATTAAATATAGGAAAAAAATAATTACACATATTGCGTGTAAATTGCGAGACGAATCTTTTAAACCTAATTGCTCCATGATCTAACAATGTGGTGCTACCGTAAACATTTGCTAATCACGGATTAATTAGGCTTAATAAATTCGTTTTGCAGTTTACATGCGGAATCTGTAATTTGTTTTGTTATTAGTCTACGTATAGTACTTTAAATTTGTGTCCGTATATCTATTGTGGCACGCCTAAACTTTTTACCCCTAGATCTAAACACAACCATAAAATAGAATAGAATTGAATTGCGAAAGGGCCTGTAACTTAGTGTTTACAAGAGCCTTAGTAGCACCTTAGGTCCGGGGCTTGACTCCTCATGGGAGCGAATTTTATAGGATTTAACGGCTCTGTGCTTTCATTGGTAGGCGACGTACTCGTCGACATCGAGGTGCCTGTGGTGACTTCGTCAATCTCTAGGATTTACCGGCCCAGTCTTCGAAGATGCTCATAGGGGTAGGGTTTATGTGCATGCGTTCGTAGGGGTGAGTGTGTGTGCATTGTGAGTACCAGTGTTATACTGTGTAATTTTAAAAAAATAGAATTGAATTTAGAGGGTATTTAGATGCAAGGTGTAAAGTTGTTCATAGGGTGTTTGCTTCAGTAAACCGCGAGACGAATTTATTAAGCCTAATTAATTCGTCATTAGCACATGTTTACTGTAGCAACACATTGTCAAATCATGGAACAATCAGGCTTAAAAGAGTTGTCTCACAAATTAGTCGCAATATGTGCAATTAGTTATTTTTTAGCCTAGGGACTCAATTGAATCATATAATACTGAACAGAAGGGGCACCAGATTTGCATCTCCTATTTTGTTAAATATTAAGTTAATTCACTCCCTGCTAATTCTATATAAAGAAAAAATCCCATAAACTTTTCTTTCTAAGATAGGGCTAATTATGTAATGTTCTTTTTCGCGAACGCGCAAAAAAATATGTAATGTTCCAGGATTAGTGATTCTAAACAAGAGAAAACACGATGTTTTACCAGACAAATACATGACGAGAGTGGCAGCCTGGCAGGATAACAACTAACAATATTATCAGGGCCTTGATGTAGCAGAGATTGTAAATAACAGGGTAGATATCTACTTGGCACTTGCACTCCAAGCCTCTTCATGTCAAGTTACCAGATATGATAAATATATACTTGCATAACATACAGCGCAAATTTCATCTTTACGCAACAAAAAAATTGTAAATAGTACATCACTACACAGAGGCATTTTCTACCCAAAAATTTAACCATCACTACTGAAGCAAGTATTCCATGAAAAAAAATAAATACAATACCATTTGTTAACAAGGCCTCAGAGCCTTGGCTGGTGGCATGGGCAACCAATCAAGGACCATTTGTTACATTAGTCTACTAAATTCAAAAACAAGAAACCCATAGACACCATCAAGGCTTTCCACAGCTTGTAAATAAAACATTCTACGCCAATGGATAAAACACAACTTCCAAATCCAGCATTCAAAGACAAGATTTATCTGAACCTGCTAAGCGCTCAGAATCTCCACATGGAAGAGATACGTACAAACAGAACAGCTGAATAAGGTTTTCCATTCTAAGAGGAATTCTGTGAACAGTGAAGAAGCTCGACAGACATTCCAGTGAACTTAAATGCCTATAATTTGTAAGTGTACTAATACATTGCATCGACCGAAGTATAAGATTAAATATATCTAGTGCTATTAAATTTGATAATAGCGGGGCACTAAGTTTAACTTATAGACAAATGCAATTGCCATGACTGAAGACTCATCCCTATATATGCCCTTGATTTGATTCTCCCAAGTTAACAAGGAGAAAGCTTGGACATTATATCCTTAATAAGACCTGGGCAGCTACTGATTAAGTGCCCAAACCCATTAGTTTCCATGACGGCCTTCAGAGATCTTGACGACCTGAGGAACTTCAAGCATGCTTCCTTAAGCATGTGGCAGCTGTGCTGCTCAGCTAGTACCAAAATGTTCACCACGGAGTCCGTGTCAATGTGCTTAGACAAATTATGTTCACAAATCAGCTTCATCCTCTCCAGATTGTACCTGTCAGCCGCTACAAGCAAATGCTGAGCCATTGCAGCTTCGTCTTGCTGCTTCATCTCAGGCAAATCGTCCGTGTAAACAAAGGTTAGCATAGCCCTGAACACTTCTTCCTCCATGTCATCGATTCTTATGGCACCTCTGGTGGTACTCTCCCTCATCCTGCCATAGAGCTGCGCCTTGAAGACCGGAGAGCGCGCCGCGAGCACCGATCGGTGCGCGTCGAACTTCTTCTTGCCCACCTGGAATTTAAATAGACGCGAATATTAGGGAATGACCTAATATCAAATAACTGGAAGGGGCGAGGCTTCGAACCCAGGTCATCTAGCTCACCACCTTGTGAAACTAGGCTGAAGACCCCCGGGCGTTTCTCTCTCACCTGGAACTTGACATCCGCGCCTTGTTTGCTCAGCAGAAGATCACCGAATTGCCGGCGCATGTCTGACGGCGGCGCCACGATGAGCGGCGTCTCCTCCTCCGTGTGGAAATCTGTAATGACGACGACGTCAATCCGGATCTTGAAACAATCATCCTTGAGATACTCTGATTCCTCCAAAGATTCCCTTTTCATGAAATCAAAACCCCAACCCTTCTTATGCTCCATGAAGTTGACCACCCTGGTGGTGAATCTGTAGGACGATACCGGATTCCCCTCCATGTCGAGTAAACTGAAGATGGCCTTCGCCTCCACGGCCTCGCTGCAGGCCTCGGCGTCATCGAGGCAGAGGTAGAAGGCCACGAAATCGGCTTTCTCGGCTCGATTCCCATTGGGGTAGTACAGCACGTGCCAGGTGTGGCCTCCTGCGCGGAACGGCCGAGACCTGATGCTCTTGCCACTGGGGACGGCCTTGGTGAAGGAGTACCCGACGATCTTGAGCACGTGGTGGCCGTTCACCGTGCCGGCGACGATGGCGGAGGCGGACCCTGAGCTTGAGGAGGCCCCGTCGGAGGCGGCGGCGGCGAGCGAGGAGGCGGTCATGGCGCGCGGCGGTGGATGGTGGTCGGCGAGAGGTGACCACGGTGTATCCCGTCGCCAGCGGGAGGAGAGGAGGGAGGCAACGGCGAGGGGATTTTGAGGGTTTCTTTTTAATTAATTTGTTATTTCTTTTTTCTGTTCTTCTGAAGAAGAGAAAGTGTAGACGAGGCAGAGAATGCTGCTGTCGTATTGGACTTCTTTTGTGGCTGAAATCCGTGACGTGCGATACAGATCAGACCGCCACGCATCGAATAAGTTTTCGGCTTGTTTGGTAACTCGAGGGAAGGGGATTAGGAGTTTACACGAGGGAATTGATGATGAGATTAAGATGAGAATTTGATTTTTAATCCCAATATCTTGTTTGGTAGAGATGATGTAAATTGATAGGGAGTTTAGTTAGAGATTAGGTCATTAATAAAAACGGATGATTGAGATTTGCTTAGAAAAAGTAAAGGAGGAAATCCCTTCCAATTACCTGACACTTAATAGCCTCATCCCTCTAAACTCCCAATCATTCCTAAAAACTCCCTCCAACCAAACATGCCGTTTGGAAATTTTGTCAAAGCTAATAAACGACGCTTCATAAAAGTTTGGGAAAAAAAAATCTAAATAACCCCTAGAACTCGCTAGTGTTTCTGTTTCCCACTGAAACTCAAATTAATACATAATAAATCCTATCGCATGCCAATTTATCTTCTAACTTTCCTTTCAATGCCATCCTAATCCCTTTATTAGCCAACATATGAGAGTCCTAATTATATTTATAGTTGGCCATCAACTATAAATCTTCATCAAATAAGGGAGAAACAAAAATTCGGTAGGGATGGAAGAAACCACCGGAAGGTAAATTGATGGTTAATGTTAATGCAGGTTTCGATGTGGACTCGGAGAGTGGCAATACGGGTGTGGTGATACGAGATATCTATGGAGCTTGTGTTGCAGCAACTCAAGAGATTCTACCACATGTTTCGGATGCACATATGGCGGAAGCTTATGCATTGAGAGATGGCTTAATGCTGGCCCAAAGATTAGGAATTAATAGGATAATGATCCACTCAGATTGCTTGCAGGTTGTCGATACTATGTTGTATGTAGGTTATTCGGCAACAGCCTTAGCAACTATTTACGAAGAATGTAATCTAATATGGAGAGGTTTTGATAGCATATCTATTGAACATTGTAATAGAGAAGCAAACAAAGTTGCTCATGAATTGGCCAGGGTAGCTTTTAGTAGGAAAGAGTATTGTACTTGGGTCGATGAATCTCCTGTCTATACTCTAAGCACTTTGGCAAACGATGTAATTTAATGATCAATAAAGCTAGCCCAATGGCATTCCCTAAAAAAAGAAAAAAGGAATCACTTTGTTTTTGAAAGGACTGAGCTTAGGAAATAATAAGAGGCATTTTTAGCAAGGCTGTAATGCCGCGCTTTTAGCGAGATGTTAAAAACTAACTCGGCAAAATCCTAATTGCGAAAATTTCGTTCTTTGTGTGCGAGTCTAAGTCGTGCCATGGATCTCAATTCAAATCCGTCCTTGTTCCCTCTCATCGCCATCAAAATCGTCCACCTCAAGATTTCCTCTTCCAATTCAAGTCTCCCAAATCAAATTCCGAAATTCAAATCCTCTCCTTTGAATCCCCGCCAAATACCTGTCCCCATTTCCGAAAATATCAAATTCCCATCTCGACTCCTTTCCTTGAGTCTCCCTTGATTCCTCCCTAAACCCCCGAGATCGAATCTCAAATTTGAAATTTAAACCCAAGCCCCAAATCCCTCCAACTCAAATTCCCTATAAAAGTCTATTTTGCCTCCCTCTGTTTTTGTGGGCCGAATTCCTTTCCCTCGATCCATCCCTCCTCTCAGCCCGTTTCCCCTCCCCTTCGCATGTGTTGAGCACGCGCGTCGTGCCCGAGCCGAGAGAGAGCGCCGCCCTCTCTCTCTCTCGCCCTCTCTGCTTCCTCTCTCCCCGGCGCCGATTCCAGCCACCGCCTTTGGTTCCCGCGCACGTGTCGGTCGTGGCCGACCGCCCGGTCGCCACCGCCGTCAGCGCCCACGCCGCGATGCCGCTCGGCCCCGCTGCCTGCCGCGAGCTCTACAGCGCGTGCCAAGCCGCTACACCCGCGTCCGTCCAAATCCCGGAGGCAGAGCTCTCCCTCTTCCACCTCCTCCTCCCAAACCAGCACGGTCAAGCTCCCCTTTTTCCCCCTTCTTTTCCCTTTTTCCTTTCCCGAACCAATGCCCTGCATCCATCACCTAGCCCCTAGCGCCATGGACTGCGAGCGCCCTTACGCCACGCGCCAGCTCGCCGCCCCCACCTTGACCGCGCCAGCCCGCGCTCGTGATTCAATTCATGCCGCCCGATCCACCGCCTTCGCCGCCCCACACATCCACACCGTCGCCGCTTTTGCACCGCCCACGAAACCGCCGTGGCCGCCAGCCGAGCGCTTGACCGCCAAGGTCGGTTCTCCCCTCCCAAACCGACCTCGCCTCTGCTATAAAACCCAAGCCGAGCCCTTCTCACCATCCCAATCTCCCGTTTTTGCCCCCATCACACCATCGCCGCCTTGTTGCCGCCCTTGCCCTACAGTCGCCCTCGTCGTCCGTCGCCGAAGCACCAAGGAGACTGGTGCGTGCGAGGACGCGAGACGAGGACTACGGGCACCCCTCTTCTTCCCCTTCCCCAGCCCGAGGCCGGAGAGCTCGCTCCCGCGCCATCAGCCGCTCGTCACAGCGCCCATCTCGGCTCAGTAGTACACACTCTCCGTTCTCCCTCCTCGCTCCCTCTCCTCCCCTTAGCTCCGGGCAGTAGTGCGAGTAGCCTTCCAGTAGCTAGTTGGCGTCACCCCGACCGCCGCCGCCGCTCGCCTAGGCTCGCCGGCCATCTTGCTCTGTCCCGGAGGCCGCCTCTCGTCGTCGGCCTCTCTCAGTGTCCCTCCGCTCCATCCGAGGTTGGGAATGCATTCCCTCGGTCCCGGTGGTGCTCCCGCCGCCCGGAATCGAGCCCTCGTCGACTGCCGCCACTTTCCCTCTTTCCTCGCCGCCGACGATCGCCATCGAAATCCACCGCCATCGGCTTCCCTCTTGTCAATTCCTCGTGCCGCCACCCTCCTTGAGCCCCCTTGACTCTCCTCGAACCACCGCCCCAGCCGCCGGCCTTCTCCTTTGCTTCCGCGCCGTGCCGCCTTCTTCCGCCGCCGCATAGCGCCGCCGCGCGCGCGTCGCTGGCGACCTTCGGGTCCCGCGTCACCACGTGCGTGTCGCAATTCCTTTCCGTGTCAGCTAAGCCCAACCCCGCGCCCCTTTGTCCCTTCTCTCGCTCGTCCGCATCGGCATCCCGGCGAATTTCGTCACCGCTGCCGGCCGCCGTCGTGTCCCCTCTCTCCAATCCAAGCCGTGGAATGAGTTCCCCGTCTCCTCCTCCTTCTACCAGTGCACGCATCTCCCTCCGGCTCGCCGCCGTTCGCCGGATTCCGCCGCGCGCCGTGAGCCGTCCGATGAGCCGCCCGGCCTCCTCTCCCTTCCCCATCCGACGTGACGTTCACGTTGGCACCACCTCAGCCGTCGGCCCCGCTTGACTGGGTCAAGCCAGCGCCCAGTCAGCCGTCCCACTCCTCCCCCTCTCTCCCATGCTTGTGGGCTTGGCCCATCGGCGCACCTTCCCATCGGCCCCTTAAAGCGAACAAAAGTCCACATATACTCCCTCATTCCAAGCCCAGTATCCATCACTCATAAACTAAAAGTCCATATCTGCTCCTTCTCAATTTACTCTCTCTCACCTTCTTGTTGGCCCCACTTGTCAATGAGTCAAAGATATTCTTGAGAATATCTTTTCCAATATTCCACAAATACCTCTCTTTTCTAGAAATTCAATAAATCATTTTCCTATAGTCCAAAATTCCATAAATCCTTCCTCTTGACCCGGGAATTCCAATAATTCATTCCCTTGGCCCCGCATGTCAGTAACCGTCAATAATACTCTTGAGAATATTATTTCTATAAACTTTCGTAAACAATTTCTCCTATTCCAGATATTCCAATTAAACTTCCAAAATTCATATCTCTCTATCCGTAACTCCGATTGACTCCGTTCCACTTCCAGTTTTTCTCTAAAATTGAGATCTATTTAATGGCACTATTAATTAGCCTAAATAGGATGTCTCTTTTGGTCCTTGCTTAGGTTTTTGATTGTTTGCGTATAGTCGCGGTTACCGGATTTTCGTCGATCGCGATTTTCTCGAAGATTCGTGAAGCCTCGTGAAGACCTTGAGCAAGGCAAGTCACCCTTTGACCAATTGCTCCTATAATTGGAAAAACATTATTATTTTGTTTGCAACTTGCATTATTAGAATCACCCGTTTAACTTGCTTGGCCTCAGTTTGAATGCCAAACCGACGGACCTACCTAGTAGTCGCACTAATTCCACCTTTGTGGTACCTCGGTATCCGTGCTCTCTGAGCGCGTATACCAAATATCCCACATACACCGTTGTTTGTCGAAAACTTGGGAAATGGGTTTGAAAAGCCTTGAAAACCCGACATGTGGTGTCGGCGTGTTTGAAAATAAAATAAATTATGAAAACTCGCGATGCGGGGGTTGTGCCTGTGTGGCATTGTCCCGTATTCGCATATAAGGACCGATTCCTGTGGGAAATTCATCCGAGCATATAACAAGTGCGACCACACGGGTGCAATAGGATGCCCCTGGCTGAGTAAATAGCAAACCAGGGAAGCCTTGATGCCAAGAGACATGTGAATTCAACGGGGTGGTGTCGGGTAGAACCCTCGGGCTTCCTGGCACAGTATGGTCTGGGACCTAACCTGTTGTCGGTCTGGGACCCCTCTCGTTGGCATATGGCGACCCTGTGTCGGCTTTCGAAATGCCTTGTCATGAAAGCCTTAAGGTCACCAGACATGGCTGTTCTCCACGGGTTGGATGATCCGGGTTAGTAATGTCGTGTGGATAAAGTGTACCCCCTCTGAACTAACTGTTCGAACAGCCGTGCCCGCGGTCATGGGCGGATGTGAGGTGTTTCCTGTAGCGTAGATTTGTTTGCCTGTGCTTTGTGAAAAGTTGTTGTGGTGTGGGAATCGTTACCAGAATCAGCCTATGTGGCAGATGGATGACTTGAGTGGTCAAGAAACGAATCTGTGTGATTCGGGATGTCTACGGGCATGTAACACCCTGAAAATTCGACCAACGAAACCAAAACACCAAAAATACGGATTTTCAAAAACTTTTTAAGTAATAAATTGCATCATGCCGATTTTATTCGCCTATTTCATTGGATTTTGATCTCGGAATTTATTAATCGCAAATAATGAATAACTAACTGGGAATAAACCCTAAAAATCAAGTTGGCTAAATAAATAATTAAAATGTAAATTAAAATAAAGATTAGGTGGGATTGGAAATAAATAAAATATTATCGCGACCATATTAGCAATAATTAAATTTTAGTACGATGGAATGAGAATTAACCCTAATTAAAAATTCAAATAAATTATATAAACAAAATATGAGTGATATTAAATTAGGGTGAATTTTTAGTTAGGATAACACAAATATGGAGTAAACTTGACTTTATGCAAAAATTAGAATTTATCAGGGCTATATTTAAATAGAAAATGGGCTAAAATCGGGATAAATAGGAAAAGTTACTGGTCACTTGCGGCATAGGTGTTCGATCGTGGTCCCCCTAGCCCCACCCCCTCCCCTGCCGCGTGCGCCGCGTCGCCCGCCCATCGCGCGCGCCGCCGCCGCTGCC